CAGAGCCCGTTGGTGGTAAGGCTCCAACTCTGCTCTCCAATGACATTAAGCGCTCTTGGATCGAGCGGATGCTGTCCACCAATCTAGCCCTGTTTTGCCCAGCCCAGGCTTTTCCAGTTCCCGCTTTTAGGTTAGACAAAAATCGAAGTCTAAACATTTTTAGAAAACAAAGTCCTATCAAATCATTTAAGGTTATTGAAATTTATGAACTTCAGTGAGGTAACCAAAATGTTTATGAAAATACCTTAAATCATTCCAGTAGAAATAATAGCAGTTACTATTTGATCGCTTGAATAATGATATTTTTGACATATACTAGGACTTATACTAGGCCGGCAAAGTTCAAATTCCACTACCAACTTTTGGTGTGTAGTGTTGCACTCTTAAACCAACATCAGGCTTAGTTTCCGTTTTATACACGGGTTAATACTTTGTAATAAACTCTTCACAGAGCCTATTTCGAGCACTGCTCCCAGAACTCCTGCTCTAGTTCAGAAACCTCTGGAATTGCTAGAAGGACACTCTATATCCTTGTTGTGCCCGGCCCAGGGGTTTCCGGCTCCTAGTTTTCGGTAAGCAGAAGTCGTATTTTGTCCAACAAAATTAGTTTGGGAGTTTAGAAAACGTACGGATGTGACGAATTAAGAAAATAATTTCTATAAGTTATAGGGGGTCAAAACACATACAGTTTTAGATTAATTTTGTCAAAAGCAATATTTTCATTCGGTAAAAGTAAACGCATTGTAAGAATTCCCCATGCCAATAAATTCATCAGTTTTCGCTGCAGTAAAGGATCCCATTGAGGAAGAGATTTAACCCCGTCCCAAACATTTTAGCTATTCCCAAAACACACCAAAATGTATCTCTTTCCCCAGAACCCATTTCGGCCAAGGCCCCCGTTCTTTCGGTGGACACCAAGTGGTCCGGAATCGAGAGAAATTCCGGAATGGACATAGTTTTGCTTTGTCCCGCCCAGGCATATCCGGTGCCCATTAGCAGGTTAGATTCTTCAGCCCTTTTTAGAGCGTTCCGCGACGTGACATTAATTATACATGAGAAGCGTGAACTTTTACCCCACGTTTTGGTGCTATGCGAGGGGGAAATGGGTGTTATCGAGGGGCGGAGGGTCCATTCATAAAAATGCGCGCGCAAAGCAAAACACAAGCAAAATAGGCGCGCACCCACACTCTCGTACGCAGAAAAGTAAGCTACGTAAACAAACCATAGACGGAATGGCAAAAAGAGGGAATCGTCAAAACAACAGCAGGCATGTGTGGGTGCTGCCACTTCCCCCTTTTCTTTTGCACTGGTGTGAGTGGGAAGTTTGTAAACAAACTCGGCTCAGCTGTTTCTCACTTCGCTCTCTCTCTCAGTCTCTCTCTCTCGTACGACACCGCGCATGCTTGGCATCCACAAGAAATTTCCCAAACAATTACCCCTCCGAAACTCGTGTGGACCGCATCTATCTCGCTCGCACACCCGTTCATGAATGAACGCACGTTTTTGGGTCAACAACCGTTGGTTTGTGCCACTTTCTTGAGGTCGAATGACATTGAAAGGGGGCGGGATGGGTGCTGGTGACCTCCACTTGTTGCGCGCTCAGCTGATTTTGGCCCTATGTCTGCTTTTGCGCATGTCTGTGGCCTTAACTTTGACCGAAATGGAATATGCATTATTTACTTTTGACCCACCGTCACTGCGCTTCTTCTTTCGCTTCTTTTCGGCTTAGTTGCTAACGTTTTTCGGTGTGATTCGGGTCAGGTTCAGATCGGAAGGTCACGTCCAATGCCTAAGTGAAAGTTTGCGGCATCGAATTAAATAGAAAGCACTTGTGGACTTTCGTCGACCCCCAAAGTAACATTCAGTCAGTTTATTGTTTGCGTTTAGGTTAATTATTAGGTGACTTCATTTACAGAGCCCGTTGGCGCCAAGGCCCCGACCTTTTCCCTCGAGTACAAGCTCATCGAGGTGGAAAAGTCAAAGGGCTCGGCTTTTGCTCTTCTCTGCCAGGCACAAGCCTTTCCAGTGCCTATTATTAGGTGAGCGACTCAGTTCCACATTCAGAGCAGTTACACAATATATGTACATATGCAGTTTTTATAAATCGATTCATATTATTACCTGTAACTTCCCAGAACCCATTGGTTCCAAGGCCCCAGCAGTGCCAACAGGAGTGCTAGCATTCCAGCAAAACGTTCCATTGCATTCCACTTTTGCCATGCTCTGTCAGGCTCAGGCATTTCCAGTCCCTGTTTTTAGGTAAAGCCCTTAAGAAAAATTATTTTTTTCGAGAATTGTTTGCTGTTAATGGTTGGGTCGCAGCATTATCTCTGTGTATTAAGATAATAACAATATCAGTTAGCTTTGAATTAAATTTATTTATATGATATTTAAGTTTACCAAAGAACTTAGTCATTGAAAAAAATTAAAATAAAATGCGTAACATTACATGCGAGTAAACAGAATTTTCATTTTAATGTTAGTTAAAATATCCAGGCAGTGTTCTTTTTGTGAGTCCTTCCTTCGTCGAAATGATTTTCATTTTTTTTTACCTTTTAGAACCTGTGGGATTTAAGGCCCCGAGTTTTCCTAGTGTGGCCTCAACATTTACCATTCAGACGCCCCAAAACAGCGAACTGGCCCTCACCTGCGAGGCCCAATCATATCCTGTGCCCATATTTAGGTAGTTAAATCCTTCATTAGTTTAACAAGGGCCAACGCTGCTTAACTGGTTCTGTGTAGGGTTAAATTTCAAATACCAAGTTCCTGAATTAAATTTGTTTATTTTAGAGCCCGTAGGGGCAAAGGCTCCGACCTTTTCGAGTGACTCCAAGGGCAGCATATTCGAGCGTACGATTCATGCCAGTTTTGCCCTGTTGTGCCAGGCTCAGGCTTTTCCCGTTCCCATCATTAGGCAAGTTTCAACGAAAGCTTAAAACATTTATGAGTACTTTGCAGAACCCATTGGAGCCAGGGCTCCAACGTTTTCCTCCGACTACAACTCGTTTTCCTACGCTCGTGCTGTGGGTCAGAGTTTCGCGATGCTCTGCCAGGCCCAAGCGTTTCCAGTTCCCATTATGAGGTTAGCTCAGATCTCGATTTTATCAGGCGGTTTTCATAGATTTCTTTCAGTCATAGCAACTACAATTGTAAAACTTCACATAATTTCAGAGCCTATCGGTGCCAGAGCTCCCACTTTTCAACGGATTCCAACTCATTTTCCTACTCACGTTCTGTGGGCCAGAGTTTTGCGCTGCTTTGTCAGGCTCAGGCATATCCGGTTCCCGTTATGAGGTTAGCAAATGGAGTCTGTTACTTTCAGGCAGTTTTCGAAAACACAAGACGTATTATATGAAATATAAATGTAAATGCCCAATAATTGCTTACAGAACCGATTGGCGCTAGAGCTCCTACATTTTCAACGGATTCGAACATATTTTCCTATATTCGGCCAGTGGGTCACAGCTTTGCATTACTTTGTCAGGCTCAGGCTTATCCAGTACCTGCTATGAGGTAGTTTATATTTTAAACCCAAATCCATTCAGGCAGTTTACTAGTTGCTCTCTAAGAACTCTCCTTAGTCATTTAACTTTAACTTGCAGAGCCTGTTGGTGCCAAGGCTCCAACCTTTGCCACTGTTTCAAAGATTTCCAGTCTACTCGGCGCAAGTTCGAGTGATATTGTACTGATGTGCCAGGCACAAGCGTTTCCAGTTCCCTATACTCGGTAATTTCAAGCAATTCAGTCAGTTTAGGGGTCTTCTCTTTTATTTTTCCCAGAACCCGTGAGTGCCAAGGGTCCCACCTTTGCTTCCGATATGAAAAGCTATACGTTCGTGCGTAACTTTGGTCAGAGTTTCGCGCTTCTCTGTCAGGCACAGGCCTATCCAGTGCCTCTTATAAGGTAGCATTAAAAAGACATACTATAAGACCTTTTTCTTTTAAGCCCCTTCTGAAACATTTTGTTATTCTTGTTTGTAGAGCCAGTTGGCGCCAAAGCTCCCACTTTCTCGGGCGAGTCGAAGAGTTTCACATTTGTCAAAGAGATATCCACTAGTTTTGCCCTGCTTTGCCAGGCTCAGGCATTTCCAGTACCCATAATCAGGTTAGTTCAACATTCGGGCAGTTAAATTCTTGACAGAGGGTGCATCCTTACACAAGCGACAATGTTTTGCAGAACCTGTTGGCAGTGTGTCCCCTAAAATATCCGGTGGGAGGCTGCAGGAAATTACAAAGTCAGCGGGCACTGACTTGGCTGTTTTGTGTCTCGGCCAATCGTTTCCCACACCCGCGTTTAGGTAAAAAGGCAATTAACAATCGTAAACAACATTCAGGCAGATAGAAGCATTCGTATTTAAATACTCATCGAACACTGATTAATTTCAGAGCCCATTGGTAGTGTAGCCCCTACTATATCGGGAGATCGTTTGCAGGAGCAGACCCAGAAATCGGGCCATAGTTTTTCTATTCTTTGCCAAGGACAGGCGTATCCCCATCCCGTTTTTAGGTACAATTATTTCGTGTAATCAAACGAGATATTCAGGCAGTTGTATTGAAAAGATAGATTCACCTTGTGTTGCCCAAATATTCTTGATATATACATACCACACTTTTCAGGACCTGTTGGCCTTGTAAAGCCCCGCATTTCAGTAAAGAGCATTGAGATCAATGAGGTGCCCCTCCAGGGCACATTTGTAGGACATTGTCCTGGACAGGGCTACCCAGTACCGGTTTATAGGTAGTTTATTAGGTTTCCCTTACTAGGTCGAGGTTAGGGCTTTCCCAATCCCCAAAAAGTGGTGCACAGAATGAGCAGTAAATTGAAAATAAATGCATTTCTTCAAGGTAAGTAAGATCTATCTCCAGGCGAGGATAAGGTAAGTAGCTCGGATCTCGGACTCCAAAATTTCTGCTGCTTAGACTGCCTCACTCTGTGCCCACTTGTTTCCAATGCCAACTTTATCCCTCGAACTCCCTATTAACACTCTCCTATCGTTCCAGATGGTACAAGTTCATCGAAGGAACAACCCGCAAGCAGGCTGTCGTATTGAGTGATCGTGTGAAGCAGGTTTCCGGCACTCTAATCATCAAGGACGCGGTTGTCGAGGACTCTGGCAAATACCTGTGCGTGGTTAACAACTCTGTGGGAGGTGAAAGCGTTGAGACCGTGCTGACTGTAACTGCTCCGCTTTCCGCCAAGATCGATCCCCCCACCCAGACCGTTGACTTCGGACGTCCCGCCGTTTTCACTTGCCAGTACACCGGAAATCCCATCAAGACCGTGAGTTGGATGAAGGACGGCAAGGCCATCGGACACAGCGAACCTGTTCTGCGCATCGAATCCGTGAAGAAGGAGGATAAGGGCATGTACCAGTGCTTCGTGAGGAACGACCAGGAGTCGGCGGAGGCCAGTGCCGAGCTGAAGCTCGGAGGACGCTTCGACCCACCCGTCATCCGACAGGCCTTCCAGGAAGAGACCATGGAACCCGGCCCAAGTGTGTTCCTCAAGTGCGTCGCCGGTGGCAACCCCACTCCCGAAATCTCCTGGGAGCTCGACGGAAAGAAGATCGCCAACAACGATCGCTACCAAGTGGGACAGTATGTGACGGTCAACGGGGATGTGGTTTCCTACCTGAACATTACCTCAGTTCACGCCAACGACGGAGGTCTGTACAAGTGCATTGCCAAGAGCAAAGTGGGCATCGCTGAGCACTCGGCCAAGTTGAATGTTTACGGACTACCCTACATCCGTCAGATGGAGAAGAAGGCGATCGTGGCCGGCGAGACCCTCATTGTCACCTGCCCCGTAGCTGGTTACCCCATCGACTCGATTGTTTGGGAGCGAGGTGAGCAGTGTTTGCTGTTTTAGTAAACAAAAAGAACAAAAAAAAAAAAAAAATATTAAATGTATTAAATGTTCCAACAATGGGAAAGGTTTTTAACTCCATTTGAAGTTAATTAGAATTCTTATTCTAAAACGGTGTAAACCTTCTTCCCTTCCTTAGACAACCGTGCCTTGCCCATCAACCGCAAACAGAAGGTCTTCCCCAACGGAACTCTGATCATTGAGAATGTGGAACGAAACTCAGACCAGGCGACCTACACCTGCGTGGCCAAGAACCAGGAAGGATACTCCGCCCGCGGATCACTGGAAGTGCAAGTCATGGGTAAGTCAAATATTCCAACTCTGGCCCAGACTCCCCCTGAATTTCAGGTTGAGCTCTGGTCGATGTTACTCTTTGTGGGCGGGTTCTAGAATTTCAGCGTCATCGATGGTCGCTAGTCCTTCGCTCAATCGAAACTCCAAACCCTTCGATCAGTTCCACCGCAGGTTGTACCCTTCGACTTCGGAGAGGAGACCATCAACATGAATGACATGGTCTCTGCCACATGCACAGTGAACAAGGGTGACACTCCACTGGAGCTGTACTGGACCACAGCTCCGGATCCCACGACGGGCGTGGGTCGTCTGATGTCCAACGACGGCATCCTGATCACCAAGACGACGCAGCGCATCAGCATGCTGAGCATCGAGTCCGTGCACGCCCGTCATCGGGCCAACTACACATGTGTCGCTAGGAATGCTGCCGGGGTCATTTACCACACAGCGGAGTTGAGGGTTAACGGTGCGGTGTTCCACTCTTCGACTCGTAGATTGATTAGTTCTTTGGTTTTTGAGTTCCGTTACCTTGACCCCCCTCGCTTCCTCGCCCCCTTCACAGTGCTGCCCCAGATCGTGCCATTCGACTTCGGCGAGGAGAGCGTCAACGAGCTGGACATGGTCTCGGCCTCCTGCACGGTGAACAAGGGCGACCTGCCCATCGACGTGGCGTGGACGAAGAACGGCGGTCGGGTGTACACCAACGATGGCATCGTGGTGACCAAGACCAGCACTCGGATGAGTGTCCTGAGCATCGAGTCCGCGAGGGCGCGCCATGCCGGGAACTACTCCTGCGTGGCCACCAACAATGCGGGCGAGACCCGTCAGTGGGCGGTCCTTGCTGTGAATGGTTAATAGCCTCGAAGTCCGCTCCTAGGAGCTTTTGATTTTCTTTGGTTCTCTTTCGTTAACCCCACATCCCCCACCCAGTCTTGCCCCAGGTCGTGCCCTTTGACTTTGGTGAGGAGAGCATCAACGAGTTGGACATGGTCTCGGCTTCGTGCACGGTGAACAAGGGCGACCTGCCCGTGGACATCTACTGGACTAAGAACGGAGGTCGAGTCTACACCAACGACGGTCTGATCGTGACCAGGAACAGTCAGCGTCTGAGTGTCTTGAGCATTGAGTCCGTGCGAGCCCGTCATGCGGGAAACTATTCCTGCGTGGCCACCAACAATGCGGGAGCCATCACCCAGTCCGCCATGCTGGCAGTCAATGGTTATTGTCCATCTACGAAGACTTTTTCTTAAGTTTTGTTTTGCCTTCGTTTTCTCCCTCTCCAGTCCTGCCCCAAATAATGCCCTTCGATTTTGGTGAGGATGTGATCAACGAACTTGACATGGTGTCCGCCTATTGCACCGTAAACCGGGGGGATCTTCCCGTCGATATTGCCTGGACCAAGAACGGCGGTCGCGTGTACACCAATGACGGCTTGATCGTCACCCGGAACAGCCAACGCATCAGCGTTCTAAGCATCGAGTCCGTGAGGGCCCGACATGCCGGGAATTATTCCTGCGTTGCCACCAACAACGCCGGGGAAACACGACAATCCGCAATCCTAGCTGTCAATGGTTAACGCCTTAAAGCTCTTGAATTCGCTTTGTTCCTTGTTCGTTTGATTTTCGTTTCGTTCTGAACCTTTTCCTTCACTTCCTTTCACTTCCCTCCATTGCCGTGCAGTTCCACCTTCGATAGCCCCGTTTTCTTTTGGCGATGATCCGGTGAACACGGGCGAGAATGCCGGAGTGCAGTGCATGGTGCAGAAGGGCGACGTGCCCATCACCATCAAATGGACTCTGAACTCGCGTCCAATCATCAACGGAGAGGAGGGCATTACCATCTTAAAGCTTTCTCCCAAGACGAGTGTTTTGAATATAGCCGCCGTCGAGCAGAATCATCGCGGAGTCTTCAAGTGCATTGCTGAAAATAAAGCGGGCTCTAGTTTCACCACTTCGGAGCTGAAAGTCAACGGTACACGGATGCAGCAACCTCCCTCACAGCACTTTTTATTTATTTCAATTATATTTTTATTTTATTTTAATTTTATTTAATCCTTTCGAATTCTACAGTACCCCCTCAAGTGTCGCCCTTTAATTTCGGCAGTGAAGTCTTGAATATGGGTGATGTCTTAAGCATCACTTGTGTCGTTCTTAAGGGTGACTTACCCCTTAAAATTCATTGGTCTCTGAATGATGAGGCTGTGGAAACTGGTGTAAATGGATTCACAGTGATGCAGTTGAACCCACGCACCAGTTACCTGAGTGTGGATGCACTGGAGGCCAAACACCGGGGCTCCTACAGTTGTGTGGCCCAGAATATGGCGGGTCGAGCGATTTATTCCGCTGATCTGCAAGTGAATGGTTGGTCAAACCTCCCTTTGGATCCCTTTGTATCCGTCTGTAAAGTTGCTTTCTACTAACACGAACCTGGTTTATTTGGTGGCTAAGAGCTATGTTGACTTCAAGAGACTTAAAGGATTTCCCTCTGTAGTTGCACCACAGATCAGTCCATTTTTCTTTGGTGATGAGCCCTTGAATCGCGGGGAAGTGGCGAGTGTAACCTGCGTGGTTCCCAAGGGTGACCTGCCCCTCGATATCTATTGGACTTTAAACTCCGCTCTCATTGTAAATGGAGAGCTTGGATTCACGTTGGTTCGACTGAATAAGCGGACCAGTTCGCTGAATGTTGACTCATTAGAGGCTGTCCATCGGGGCAGCTACAAATGCATTGCTAACAACTCAGCCGGATATGCTGAATACGTTTCCACTCTAGATGTGAACGGTTTGTCTAGATCTAATTTTGTTTAATTTTAGAATTTTATTTTATGTTGTTTACATACTTTGATTTCCTCTTCCTCATCTCTATTTCTCTGAAAGTTCCTCCACAAATTCAACCCTTTGACTTTGGAGTTGAGCCAGCAAATACTGGCGAAATGGCTGGTGGTTTTTGCATGGTTCCGAAGGGTGACCTTCCCATGGAGATCCGCTGGACCTTGAATTCAGCACCCATCATAACCGGTGAACACGGATTTTCCCTGTCGCGTCTAAATCCGCGCACCAGCTCTTTGAGCATCGATTCACTCGAAGCCAGACATCGAGGATTGTACAAATGCATTGCCTCTAACAAGGCGGGCAGCACTGAATACAGTGCTGAATTGCACGTGAATGGTCATTACTCATATCATACTCATAACTATTAGTTAAAATTTTATTTTATTTTCCTGATTTTTAATCGTTTGCCACTCACTTCCCACCCTTCAAGTGCCGCCCCAGGTTTTGCCCTTCAGTTTCGGCGAATCTGCCGCCGATGTGGGCGATATTGCGAGTGCCAATTGTGTGGTGCCCAAGGGAGATCTGCCCCTGGAGATCAGGTGGTCCCTCAACTCGGCTCCTATAATTAACGGCGAGAACGGTTTCACCTTGGTGCGTTTGAATAAACGCACAAGTCTCTTGAATATTGATTCGTTGAACGCATTTCATCGAGGTGTCTACAAGTGCATAGCCACAAATGAAGCTGGAACCAGTGAATACGTGGCTGAGTTACAAGTGAATGGTTTGTCCCAACATGAAATACAAAAATATCTGCAAATAAGAGCACGCTTACTATCTGTATTGTCCTCACTTAGTGTTGTCTGTTGGTTCTGGTGTTGGAGCTCTGAGCGGCTTTTTATTACATATACCTATATACCTGCTAAATAATGGAGTGTTCTTGCTGTTTGTAGAGAGTCAGAGCTTATTAGAAAGATTTCAGTATCAGCAAAATTAACAGGATAACCTGAAAAGCTGTTTTGTCATATTGATGAATGGAGTAAGATCTAGATTCCTACCCCCTTTACTGTCTAGTGCCCCCTCAGGTCATGCCCTTTGTTTTTGGAGAGGAGCCTTCCAACTACGGCGATAGTACCGCAGTGCAATGCATGGTCTTCAAGGGGGACACTCCACTCCAACTGCACTGGACTCTGAATGGACAACCAATAACCAACGAACACGTCGGAATCCGGATCATCAAAATGTCTCCCAAATTAAGTTCTTTAAGCATCGACTCTATCAATGGAAATCACCGAGGGCTGTTCAAGTGCATAGCCACCAATGCGGCTGGGGTTTCTGAGCAAAGCGCCGAACTGGTTGTCAATGGTTAATACGCAGTCAAAATATGTGTTTTCAGTTATGTTTCTCTCTTTTTGTTTTCCTATTCCGAACTCCTATTTCCTTTTGAACGGTCTAGTACCGCCTCAAATCCGACCCTTTGACTTTGGCGACGAGGCTTCCAACTCAGGCGAGACCATGGGCATCCAGTGCACCGTGATCAAGGGGGATCTGCCATCAACATTACCTGGGTTCTTAATAACCACACCCTTAACAGTGGTGACTTCGACGTGGTGATCGGTAGAATGTCCAGCAAGTCGAGCACCTTGAACATCGACTATATAGCAGCCGAACACCGTGGGCTCTACACCTGCTTGGCTCGCAATCAAGCGGGCGAGAGCAGCTACAGTGCGGAGCTGAAAGTCAATGGTTACTACCCGTTCAATCTCCAATTTAGAGCCTAGTGCTTATTTTGATTTGTTAACTAACTAATTTTGAATGTCATCCCTCCACCCATCCCAGTCCTGCCCAGCATTCATCCCTTCAGCTTCGACGCCGAGGCCAACGAAGGTGACAGTGTTCAGTTGACTTGCCAAAGGCGATCTCCCCTTGAGAATTCGTTGGACCCACAATGGCTTACCCCTTTTTACACATCTGGGGGTGATGGCCAGCAAAATCGGGGACCGAATCAGCCTTCTCACGGTGGAATCGGTGAAGGCAGCCAATTCGGGGAACTACAGCTGCGTGGCGAGCAACAATGCGGGGAACGTGAGCTCAAGTGCCGAGCTGCTCGTCAATGGTTACTGAAATACTTTCTGTACACTTATATTATAGTTCCGTTATTTGAGATAATTTGACACCCAACCCCAAACAACACTTACTTCCTGTAGTTCTGCCCCAAATTGTGCCCTTCGCTTACGATGACCTAATCAACATGGGCGACTCGATCGACTTGTTCTGCCAAATCCAAAAGGGCGACCGCCCCATCAAGGTGCACTGGAGTTTCGAGCGGAGTGCCGGAGACTCCGGCTTCGACCAGTTGCAGCCTCAAATGCGAACGAATCGCATCAGTGGCAAGACGAGCATGCTGTCCATTCCGAGTGCCAGTCCAGCTCACACCGGAAAATACACCTGCATAGCCAGCAATGCGGCTGGAACGACCACCTATAGCGTTGATCTCACAGTGAACGGTACTAAAATCGACATATAGCGAATACCTATAGCGTTGGTCTTACTAATCGATTGTATCTTGAAGTACTCTCTAATGGTTGCGGTTACCGAAAGTCTTGACTGTTTGCGTTGCTACTAATCTAACCCCATTTCTCTAACTCCATCTGTCTAACTGAGCCTGCGAGGTTTACTGTGAACTGTTCTTGCATTT